GTATATATGCCTATATTTGTGAAAGTATTTATTCTGGAATTAAGATGTTTAGTAATTGAGACTTGGAGAGACAAATGTCAGATGACAAAATCTAAGGCAGATCCTACGACACTTGCACAATCTCTCCTTCCTTCTCAGAGAGATAAATCGGTAGATGGAATCTAATTGTTTTTTTTTTCTTTTGAATACTAAATTGATTTTTGTGTGTACAATCTGAAACATTTTCATGTATAGAAAGATTTGTTAGTCTTTTCTTTATTGTTTTAAAACATTTTTTGTATCTAACGATATTGAAAGACTATTTACTCAAAATTATATATAGTTTTTTTATGTTTGGGAATTATTTCAACTTTAGTTTTTTTTTCCATTTAATCTCAACTAATATTTGAAGCAGCAAATTTTTTTTACTAAATTAGTTAAAAGAAAACGAAGCAAAAAATAACCTATAGCATAGCGCGGGAGTTAATCTAGTCATTATTAATGTTAATAAATTAGTTGGTAGTATGGGAGCTCACAAAAGGGGCGTGGAAGAAAAGAGAACCAGAGTTTTCAGCAGGCCAGTGACCATCATCAGCCTGCAAGGCCGTGAAATAGAGTAACCCTCTTCTCAATGCAGTCTTTGCATCTTCATATGTTATTTTCTCTGCATCATCAACTCTCACTTGCGGAATCTTTTGCTCGAACTTCTTCTCCCTAAGAAACTATCATGTCCAAAGAACAAAAAAGGCTTATTTTCTGTGGTACAAACCAAATTGTAAGGTGTTGGAAAGACTTGAAAAAGTGTTTACTTGCATCCGCCAAAGGAGATCGGCATTGGCCTTGAAACGAGACTTGTTGTCTGAAAAATTTCGACGCGCCTCGTCCACCTCAGCAAGTTCCTCGAGAGAGCCTGCATTGGCATCAAACTCCCAAATCTGTCTCCCAACGTAGTTGTTGGTGGTGAACAAGTGATTGTCATCTCCCACATTAGCTCCAATTCTCAGTCTCCACATTTTGTATCAATCTTGGTTTACTCGGTAAGAACGAACACGTCAC